CTCGGGTGGTGGTCTCGGGTGGTCTCGGGTGGTCTCGGGTGGTCTCGGGTGGTCTCGGGTGGTGCTCGGGTGGTCTCGGGTGGTCTCGGGTGGTGGTCTCGGGTGGTCTCAGGTGGTCTCGGGTGGTGGTCTCGGGTGGTCTCGGGTGGTCTCGGGTGGTGGTCTCGGGTGGTCTCGGGTGGTCTCGGGTGGTCTCGGGTGGTGGTCTCGGGTGGTCTCGGGTGGTCTCGGGTGGTCTCGGGTGGTCTCGGGTGGTGGTCTCGGGTGGTCTCGGGTGGTCTCGGGTGGTGGTCTCGGGTGGTCTCAGGTGGTCTCGGGTGGTGGTCTCGGGTGGTCTCGGGTGGTCTCGGGTGGTGGTCTCGGGTGGTCTCGGGTGGTCTCGGGTGGTCTCGGGTGGTGGTCTCGGGTGGTCTCGGGTGGTCTCGGGTGGTCTCGGGTGGTGGTCTCGGGTGGTCTCGGGTGGTGGTCTCGGGTGGTCTCGGGTGGTCTCGGGTGGTCTCGGGTGGTGGTCTCGGGTGGTCTCGGGTGGTCTCGGGTGGTGGTCTCGGGTGGTCTCGGGTGGTGGTCTCGGGTGGTCTCGGGTGGTGGTCTCGGGTGGTCTCGGGTGGTCTCGGGTGGTGGTCTCGGGTGGTCTCGGGTGGTCTCGGGTACAAACTGTGCGGTGATAGAATATTGACACACACTGTGCATAGATCATTATCAATGTTGGATTGTTTTTGGTCGGAGCTTCAAAATATTTAAATAACTAACTATTTAACTAATATTACAACTAACCCGCGGACTCGGCCCTGGCCCGCGGACTCGGCCCTGGCCCGCGGACTCGGCCCTGGCCCGCGGACTCGGCCCTGGCCCGCGGACTCGGCCCTGGCCCGCGGACTCGGCCCTGGCCCGCGGACTCGGTTCCATTTCAGTCTGATCCAACCACAGAAAATGTATTTGGAAAAACAGATCCGGTCCCTTTTTCACTGGAGATAAAACTAAAATGTTGAAAAAAGCAGTTTATAAAACATTTAAAAACATTTCTTCAAAATATAATATTTGATTAGATGCATATCTTCACATAACTCCAACAGAAGAGACTGAAGCAGAGCGTCTGTGGGAAAGTATCGATTCTGTTCAGTATCGCGATATTTCATGAACACAATTAAAGTGATGCAGTAGATCAAAGTATTATGATATTTAAGTATTTATCTGTTTGACCAAAGTGTCTGTCAGAATCACAGACTGTCTGTATCGTGATATGTTAGAATCACAGACTGTCTGTATCGTGATATGTCAGAATCACAGACTGTCTGTATCGTGACATGTCAGAATCACAGACTGTCTGTATCGTGATATGTTAGAATCACAGACTGTCTGTATCGTGATATGTCAGAATCACAGACTGTCTGTATCGTGATATGTCAGAATCACAGACTGTCTGTATCGTGATATGTCAGAATCACAGACTGTCTGTATCGTGATATGTCAGAATCACAGACTGTCTGTATCGTGATATGTCAGAATCACAGACTGTCTGTATCGTGACATGTCAGAATCACAGACTGTCTGTATCGTGATATGTCAGAATCACAGACTGTCTGTATCGTGATATGTTAGAATCACAGACTGTCTGTATCGTGATATGTCAGAATCACAGACTGTCTGTATCGTGATATGTCAGAATCACAGACTGTCTGTATCGTGATATGTCAGAATCACAGACTGTCTGTATCGTGATATGTCAGAATCACAGACTGTCTGTATCGTGATATGTCAGAATCACAGACTGTCTGTATCGTGATATGTCAGAATCACAGACTGTCTGTATCGTGATATGTCAGAATCACAGACTGTCTGTATCGTGATATGTCAGAATCACAGACTGTCTGTATCGTGATATGTCAGAATCACAGACTGTCTGTATCGTGATATGTCAGAATCACAGACTGTCTGTATCGTGATATGTCAGAATCACAGACTGTCTGTATCGTGATTATGTCACGACTGTCGTATCGTGATATGTACAGAATCACAGACTGTCTGTATCGTGATATGTCAGAATCACAGACTGTCTGTATCGTGATATGTTAGAATCACAGACTGTCTGTATCGTGATATGTCAGAATCACAGACTGTCTGTATCGTGATATGTCAGAATCACAGACTGTCTGTATCGTGATATGTCAGAATCACAGACTGTCTGTATCGTGATATGTCAGAATCACAGACTGTCTGTATCGTGATATGTCAGAATCACAGACTGTCTGTATCGTGATATGTCAGAATCACAGACTGTATCGTGATATGTCAGAATCACAGACTGTCTGTATCGTGATATGTCAGAATCACAGACTGTCTGTATCGTGATATTTCAGAATCACAGACTGTCTGTATCGTGATATGTTAGAATCACAGACTGTCTGTATCGTGATATGTTAGAATCCCAGACTGTCTGTATCGTGATATGTCAGAATCACAGACTGTCTGTATCGTGATATGTCAGAATCAGACTGTCTGTATCGTGATATGTTAGAATCCCAGACTGTCTGTATCGTGATATGTCAGAATCACAGACTGTCTGTATCGTGATATGTCAGAATCACAGACTGTCTGTATCGTGATATGTCAGAATCACAGACTGTCTGTATCGTGATATGTCAGAATCACAGACTGTCTGTATCGTGATATGTCAGAATCACAGACTGTATCGTGATATGTTAGAATCACAGACTGTCTGTATCGTGATATGTTAGAATCACAGACTGTCTGTATCGTGACATGTCAGAATCACAGACTGTCTGTATCGTGATATGTCAGAATCACAGACTGTCTGTATCGTGATATGTCAGAATCACAGACTGTCTGTATCGTGATATTTCAGAATCACAGACTGTCTGTATCGTGATATGTTAGAATCACAGACTGTCTGTATCGTGATATGTTAGAATCCCAGACTGTCTGTATCGTGATATGTCAGAATCACAGACTGTCTGTATCGTGATATGTCAGAATCACAGACTGTCTGTATCGTGACATGTTAGAATCACAGACTGTCTGTATCGTGACATGTCAGAATCACAGACTGTCTGTATCGTGACATGTTAGAATCACAGACTGTCTGTATCGTGATATGTCAGTATCACAGTAATATTGAACTGTGCCCAAATATGGCAGTACTACAGAATCCTGACATTTGTGCCAGTTCCCAGCCTGAGCCCGATCACCGCTTCTCGACCTCCTCCTCTTCATGAAATTAAAACCAAAGTGTGCAGTGGACTCTCATTATGACTCTACAGCAGTGTTTCTCAACCTGTGGGCCGCGGCTCGTTAGTGATCGTCCAAAATCACCTGAAGAAAAGAATGTTTCGGGTTTATTTCCGTAGAACACTCTGAAGCGACTTTGTTCTAACGGCTGCAGAGTTTGTCCTGACTCAGTGTCAGCAGGAAGTGATGTCACACACAGGCTGGGGAACACTGCTCTACAGTATGTTCCAGAGTGATTACATGTATGTTCCAGAGTGATCACATGTATGTTCCAGAGTGATCACATGTATGTTCCAGAGTGATTACATGTATGTTCCAGAGTGATCACATGTATGTTCCAGAGTGATCACATGTATGTTCCAGAGTGATTACATGTATGTTCCAGAGTGATCACATGTATGTTCCAGAGTGATCACATGTATGTTCCAGAGTGATTACATGTATGTTCCAGAGTGATCACATGTATGTTCCAGAGTGATCACATGTATGTTCCAGAGTGATCACATGTATGTTCCAGAGTGATTACATGTATGTTCCAGAGTGATCACATGTATGTTCCAGAGTGATCACATGTATGTTCCAGAGTGATTACATGTATGTTCCAGAGTGATCACATGTATGTTCCAGAGTAATTACATGTATGTTCCAGAGTGATCACATGTATGTTCCAGAGTGATTACATGTATGTTCCAGAGTGATCACATGTATGTTCCAGAGTGATTACATGTATGTTCCAGAGTGATCACGTGTATTGATTACATGTATGTTCCAGAGTGATCACATGTATTGATTACATGTATGTTCCAGAGTGATCACATGTATGTTCCAGAGTGATTACATGTATGTTCCAGAGTGATTACATGTATTGATTACATGTATGTTCCAGAGTGATCACATGTATTGATTACATGTATGTTCCAGAGTGATCACATGTATTGATTACATGTATGTTCCAGAGTGATCACATGTATGTTCCAGAGTGATTACATGTATGTTCCAGAGTGATCACATGTATGTTCCAGAGTGATCACATGTATGTTCCAGAGTGATCACATGTATGTTCCAGAGTGATTACATGTATGTTCCAAAGTGATCACATGTATGTTCCAGAGTGATCACATGTATCAGAGTGATTACATGTATGTTCCAGAGTGATCACATGTATCAGAGTGATTACATGTATGTTCCAGAGTGATCACATGTATGTTCCAGAGTGATCACATGTATGTTCCAGAGTGATTACATGTATGTTCCAGAATGATCACATGTATTGATTACATTTATGTTCCAGAGTGATCACATGTATGTTCCAGAGTGATTACATGTATGTTCCAGAGTGATTACATGTATGTTCCAGAGTGATTACATGTATGTTCCAGAGTGATCACATGTATGTTCCAGAGTGATTACATGTATGTTCCAGAGTGATCACGTGTATGTTCCAGAGTGATTACATGTATGTTCCAGAGTGATCACATGTATGTTCCAAAGTGATCGCATGTATGTTCCAGAGTGATCGCATGTATGATCCAGAGTGATTGCATGTATGATCCAGAGTGATTGCATGTATGATCCAGAGTGATTGCATGTATGATCCAGAGTGATTGCATGTATGATCCAGAGTGATTGCATGTATGATCCAGAGTGATTACATGTATGTTCCAGAGTGTATTTAAATGTCCAAAAGTTCTTGTTTGACATTAGCGTGAGAACCGTGGTCTCGGTGGAGAACGTAGACCTCAGTCCTGAACCCGTCATGCATCCTCCTGTTGGAGCTCAGTGAAACTCAGACCCTCGGTCCCGGACTCTGGCTCCAGGACTCCGCCCCTCTGCAGCCTCTGTCTGTACAGCTGTGCCTGTGTCGCGTCCAAACACACCCCTCTCTCCTGCAGCCACGCCTCCAGCTCCGCCGCCGGGAACACAGTGCTCCTGCTGCTGCTACATCAGAGGAAGGATTCACCGGTCGGAGCACTCACACTCTCCCTTGAGCCACTAGGGGGCGACAGAGGGGGAAAGGAAAGCCAGCCATAGGAGCAGAAGAAGCATAAGGTTAGCTAAAGTGTGCCATGCGCAGTGCTAGCTTTAGCCAGTGGGTCAGCAGTAGGTGCTCCTGCTGGTCCCAGAGTCAGGACTAAACATGAGGAGGCAACGTTTCAGATTAGCAGCAGATAAGCAGCTAAAATCAGGGACAGTCTTCCTGAAAATGTGAGACAGGCTTCTTCTCTGACAATGTTTTAAATGTTTTAAATGTTTAAATCAGGTTAAAACAGTTCTGTGATTATTCATTTTAATGCGTTCTGTGGTTGTTTGGTATTTGCAGAGATGCTGAGACGATGTGTGTGCGACCTCACACTACCCACAATTCATAGCAACAGATAGCTGTGCCGCCATATTGGACTGCAGGAAGCTGTCTTACAAACGCTAGAGAATGAAATCAAGTGATCCTCATTTCGCAGCGAGAGTCGTTGAAATGGTGTTGTGCCATTTCACGAGACACTTTAAACAAATCATTGCTTTAAGACTCGTCATCGTCTGAGTTCATCCATTTTGCTTCTAATTCTTAAAGAGCGTCTTCACGATAATGATCAGTAATTAACTTTTTAATTGAAACATGAAACGTCTGTAATTCTCCAACATTTCTCCTTTAGTCCAACACTCAGACAGCGGTAAATGGGGACTGTGTATGTTTACAGCTGTTCCAATATGGTGGCACAACTATCAGTCGCTATGAATCATGGGTAATTAGTGACATCAGTGCATTTCCTCGAGCCATCCCTGTGGTGCTGCATAAGGTGCGATCTTTGTAATGATGACCTTTCTTCAGTTTGCATTAACTAGTGTTCCCCGTTCATCGCCGCGGTTACGGTCTAAAGATTTAGCATAATCAAGAAGCTAGTTTAAACTCTCTAGCTTTAGCATAATAAAGAAGCTAGTATAAAGTCTAGCTTTAGCATAATAAAGAAGCTAGTATAACATCTAGCTTTAGCATAATAAAGAAGCTAGTATAAAATCTAGCTTTAGCATAATAAAGAAGCTAGTATAACATCTAGCTTTAGCATAATAAAGAAGCTAGTATAACATCTAGCTTTAGCATAATAAAGAAGCTAGTATAAAATCTAGCTTTAGCATAATAAAGAAGCTAGTATAACATCTAGCTTTAGCATAATAAAGAAGCTAGTATAACATCTAGCTTTAGCATAATAAAGAAGCTAGTATAAAATCTAGCTTTAGCATAATAAAGAAGCTAGTATAACATCTAGCTTTAGCATAATAAAGAAGCTAGTATAACATCTAGCTTTAGCATAATAAAGAAGCTAGTATAAACCTCTAGCTTTAGCATAATAAAGAAGCTAGTATAAAATCTAGCTTTAGCATAATAAAGAAGCTAGTATAAAATCTAGCTTTAGCATAATAAAGAAGCTAGTATAACATCTAGCTTTAGCATAATAAAGAAGCTAGCATAACATCTAGCTTTAGCATAATAAAGAAGCTAGTATAACATCTAGCTTTAGCATAATAAAGAAGCTAGCATAACATCTAGCTTTAGCATAATAAAGAAGCTAGTATAACATCTAGCTTTAGCATAATAAAGAAGCTAGTATAACATCTAGCTTTAGCATAATAAAGAAGCTAGTATAACATCTAGCGTTAGCATAATAAAGAAGCTAGCATAACATCTAGCTTTAGCATAATAAAGAAGCTAGTATAACATCTAGCTTTAGCATAATAAAGAAGCTAGTATAACATCTAGCGTTAGCATAATAAAGAAGCTAGTATAACATCTAGCGTTAGCATAATAAAGAAGCTAGCATAACAGCTAGCGTTAGCATAATAAAGAAGCTAGTATAACATCTAGCTTTAGCATAATAAAGAAGCTAGTATAACATCTAGCTTTAGCATAATAAAGAAGCTAGCATAAAATCTAGCTTTAGCATAATAAAGAAGCTAGTATAACATCTAGCTTTAGCATAATAAAGAAGCTAGCATAACATCTAGCTTTAGCATAATAAAGAAGCTAGCATAACATCTAGCTTTAGCATAATAAAGAAGCTAGCATAACATCTAGCGTTAGCATAATAAAGAAGCTAGTATAACATCTAGCGTTAGCATAAAAAGAAGCTAGTATAAAATCTCTAGCTTTAGCATAATAAAGAAGCTAGCATAACATCTAGCTTTAGCATAATAAAGAAGCTAGCATAACATCTAGCTTTAGCATAATAAAGAAGCTAGTATAACATCTAGCTTTAGCATAATAAAGAAGCTAGCATAACATCTAGCGTTAGCATAATAAAGAAGCTAGTATAACATCTAGCGTTAGCATAATAAAGAAGCTAGCATAACATCTAGCTTTAGCATAATAAAGAAGCTAGCATAACATCTAGCTTTAGCATAATAAAGAAGCTAGTATAACATCTCTAGCGTTAGCATAATAAAGAAGCTAGTATAACATCTAGCTTTAGCATAATAAAGAAGCTAGTATAACATCTAGCTTTAGCATAATAAAGAAGCTAGCATAACATCTAGCTTTAGCATAATAAAGAAGCTAGCATAACATCTAGCGTTAGCATAATAAAGAAGCTAGTATAACATCTAGCTTTAGCATAATAAAGAAGCTAGTATAACATCTAGCTTTAGCATAATAAAGAAGCTAGCATAACATCTAGCTTTAGCATAATAAAGAAGCTAGCATAACATCTAGCGTTAGCATAATAAAGAAGCTAGCATAACATCTAGCTTTAGCATAATAAAGAAGCTAGCATAACATCTAGCTTTAGCATAATAAAGAAGCTAGTATAACATCTAGCTTTAGCATAATAAAGAAGCTAGTATAACATCTAGCTTTAGCATAATAAAGAAGCTAGCATAACATCTAGCGTTAGCATAATAAAGAAGCTAGTTTAAACTCTCTAGCTTTAGCATAATAAAGAAGCTAGTATAACATCTAGCTTTAGCATAATAAAGAAGCTAGTATAACATCTAGCTTTAGCATAATAAAGAAGCTGTTGGTGCGTTTCTACTTCCTGTGTTGTTTCTGTTTATATCTTGCACCTTTAAACATCTCTTCCTCTTGAACAGTGGCGGTGACACTAACCCTTCCTGAAGTAATGTTTTTAAGTGTAACGGGGCATATAAAAAGTACACAGCAATAAAAAACTGCAAAATGGTTCTAAAATATCAAATTAACCGTGTTATAGGGAGAGACGACTCTACACCGAGCTCCAGTTTAGGTTCAACAGGAGCAGTGTGGTTTATTGGAATGTTTTATGCGCCATAGTTAGCAGTTGTTGGTCTTTAGCTTAGCCTCTGTTCTTGATTAAAAGCCGAGTGGTGCAGGGGGGGGGGGCTGTGCAAAGGATCATGGGATGGTAGCTCTCCTGCACATGCTCAGAACGACTGCTCTGTGGTTTTGTCTCCACAGGACGAAAGTAAAAGGCCGGAAGCTCCCACAGAGAAGGAAGGAGAGAGCAGCAGACGTGTGTGTGTGTGTGTGTGTGTGTGTGTGTCTGTGTGTGTATATGTCTGTGTGTGTGCGTACCTGCGTGTGTGTGTGTGTGTGTGTGTGTGTCTGTGTGTGTATATGTATGTATATGTGCGTACCTGTGCGTGCGTGTCTGTGTGTGTATATGTATGTATATGTGCGTACCTGCGTGTGTGTGTGTGTGTGTGTGTGTGTCTGTGTGTGTATTTGTGTGAGAGAGAGTCTGTATGTATGTGTCTGTCTCTATGTGTGTGTGTCTGTGAGAGTTTGTATGTGTGCGTGTGTGTCTCTGTCTCGGTATGTGTGTGCGTGTCTGTCTCTGTGTGTGTGTGTCTGTCTCTGTAAGTGTGCGTGCGTGTCTGTGTGTGTATGTGTATGTATATGTGCGTACCTGCGTGTGTGTGTCTGTCTCTATGTGTGTGTGTCTGTGAGAGTTTGTATGTGTGCGTGTGTGTCTCTGTCTCGGTATGTGTGTGCGTGTCTGTCTCTGTGTGTGTGTGTCTGTCTCTGTAAGTGTGCGTGCGTGTCTGTGTGTGTATATGTATGTATATGTGCGTACCTGCGTGTGTGTGTCTGTGTGTGTATGTATATGTGCGTACCTGCGTGTGTGTGTCTGTCTCTGTATGTGTGCGTGCGTGTCTGTGTGTGTATGTATATGTGCGTACCTGCGTGTGTGTGTCTGTGTGTGTATGTATATGTGCGTACCTGCGTGTGTGTGTCTGTCTCTATGTGAGTGTGTCTATGAGAGAGTTTGTATGTGTGCGTGCGTGTCTCTGTGTGTATGTGTATGTGCGTACCTGTGTGTGTGTATGTATATGTGCGTGTGTGTGTCTGTCTCTGTATGTGTGCGTGCGTGTCTGTGTGTGTATGTGTATGTATATGTGCGTACCTGCGTGTGTGTGTCTGTCTCTGTGTGGGATGTATGTGTGCGTGCGTGTCTGTGTGTGTATGTGTATGTATGTGAGTGCGTACCTGCGTGTGTGTGTCTGTCTCTGTATGTGTGCGTGCGTGTCTGTGTGTGTATGTGTATGTATATGTGCGTACCTGCGTGTGTGTGTCTGTCTCTGTATGTGTGCGTGCGTGTCTGTGTGTATGTATGTATGTATATGTGCGTACCTGCGTGTGTGTGTCTGTCTCTGTATGTGTGCGTGCGTGTCTGTGTGTGTATGTGTATGTATATGTGCGTACCTGCGTGTGTGTGTCTGTCTCTGTATGTGTGCGTGCGTGTCTGTGTGTGTATGTGTATGTATATGTGCGTACCTGCGTGTGTGTGTCTGTCTCTGTACGTGTGCGTGCGTGTCTGTGTATGTATATGTGCGTACCTGCGTGTGTGTGTCTGTCTCTGTATGTGTGCGTGCGTGTCTGTGTGTGTATGTGTATGTGCGTACCTGCGTGTGTGTGTCTGTGTGTGTATGTATATGTGCGTACCTGCGTGTGTGTGTCTGTCTCTGTATGTGTGCGTGCGTGTCTGTGTGTGTATGTGTATGTATATGTGCGTACCTGCGTGTGTGTGTCTGTCTCTGTACGTGTGCGTGCGTGTCTGTGTGTGTATGTGTATGTGCGTACCTGCGTGTGTGTGTCTGTGTGTGTATGTATATGTGCGTACCTGCGTGTGTGTGTCTGTCTCTGTATGTGTGCGTGCGTGTCTGTGTGTGTATGTGCGTACCTGCGTGTGTGTGTCTGTGTGTATGTATATGTGCGTACCTGCGTGTGTGTGTCTGTCTCTGTATGTGTGCGTGCGTGTGTGTATGTGTATGTGCGTACCTGCGTGTGTGTGTCTGTGTGTGTATGTATATGTGCGTACCTGCGTGTGTGTGTCTGTCTCTGTATGTGTGCGTGCGTGTCTGTGTGTGTATGTGTATGTATATGTGCGTACCTGCGTGTGTGTGTCTGTCTCTGTACGTGTGCGTGCGTGTCTGTGTATGTATATGTGCGTACCTGCGTGTGTGTGTCTGTCTCTGTATGTGTGCGTGCGTGTGTGTATGTATGTGTATGTGCGTACCTGCGTGTGTGTGTCTGTGTGTGTATGTATATGTGCGTACCTGCGTGTGTGTGTCTGTCTCTGTAGGTGTGCGTGCGTGTCTGTGTGTGTATGTGTATGTGCGTACCTGCGTGTGTGTGTCTGTGTGTGTATGTGTATGTGCGTACCTGCGTGTGTGTGTCTGTGTGTGTATGTATATGTGCGTACCTGCGTGTGTGTGTCTGTGTGTGTATGTATATGTGCGTACCTGCGTGTGTGTGTCTGTCTCTGTATGTGTGCGTGCGTGTCTGTGTGTGTATGTGTATGTGCGTACCTGCGTGTGTGTGTCTGTGTGTGTATGTGTATGTGCGTACCTGCGTGTGTGTGTCTGTCTCTGTATGTGTGCGTGCGTGTCTGTGTGTGTATGTGTATGTGCGTACCTGCGTGTGTGTGTCTGTGTGTGTATGTGTATGTGCGTACCTGCGTGTGTGTGTCTGTGTGTGTATGTATATGTGCGTACCTGCGTGTGTGTGTCTGTCTCTGTATGTGTGCGTGCGTGTCTGTGTGTGTATGTGTATGTGCGTACCTGCGTGTGAATGTCTGTGTGTGTATGTATATGTGCGTACCTGCGTGTGTGTGTCTGTGTGTGTATGTATATGTGCGTACCTGCGTGTGTGTGTCTGTCTCTGTATGTGTGCGTGCGTGTCTGTGTGTGTATGTGTATGTATATGTGCGTACCTGCGTGTGTGTGTCTGTCTCTGTATGTGTGCGTGCGTGTCTGTGTGTGTATGTGTATGTATATGTGCGTACCTGCGTGTGTGTGTCTGTCTCTGTATGTGTGCGTGCGTGTCTGTGTGTGTATGTGTATGTATATGTGCGTACCTGCGTGTGTGTGTCTGTCTCTGTATGTGTGCGTGCGTGTCTGTGTGTGTATGTGTATGTATATGTGCGTACCTGCGTGTGTGTGTATGTATATGTGCGTACCTGCGTGTGTGTGTCTGTGTGTGTATGTATATGTGTGTACCTGCGTGTGTGTGTCTGTGTGTGTATGTATATGTGCGTACCTGCGTGTGTGTGTCTGTGTGTGTATGTATATGTGCGTACCTGCGTGTGTGTGTCTGTGTGTGTATGTATATGTGCGTACCTGCGTGTGTGTGTCTGTGTGTGTATGTATATGTGCGTACCTGCGTGTGTGTGTCTGTGTGTGTATGTATATGTGCGTACCTGCGTGTGTGTGTCTGTGTGTGTATGTATATGTGCGTACCTGCGTGTGTGTGTCTGTGTGTGTATGTATATGTGCGTACCTGCGTGTGTGTGTCTTGTGTATGTATATGTGCGTACCTGCGTGTGTGTGTCTGTGTGTGTATGTATATGTGCGTACCTGCGTGTGTGTGTCTGTGTGTGTATGTATATGTGCGTACCTGCGTGTGTGTGTCTGTGTGTGTATGTATATGTGCGTACCTGCGTGTGTGTGTCTGTGTGTGTATGTATATGTGTGTACCTGCGTGTGTGTGTCTGTGTGTGTATGTATATGTGCGTACCTGCGTGTGTGTGTCTGTGTGTGTATGTATATGTGCGTACCTGCGTGTGTGTGTCTGTGTGTGTATGTATATGTGCGTACCTGCGTGTGTGTGTCTGTGTGTGTATGTATATGTGCGTACCTGCGTGTGTGTGTCTGTGTGTGTATGTATATGTGCGTACCTGCGTGTGTGTGTCTGTGTGTGTATGTATATGTGCGTACCTGCGTGTGTGTGTCTGTGTGTGTATGTATATGTGCGTACCTGCGTGTGTGTGTCTGTGTGTGTATGTATATGTGTGTACCTGCGTGTGTGTGTCTGTGTGTGTATGTATATGTGCGTACCTGCGTGTGTGTGTCTGTCTCTGTATGTGTGCGTGCGTGTCTGTGTGTGTATGTGTATGTATATGTGCGTACCTGCGTGTGTGTGTATGTATATGTGCGTACCTGCGTGTGTGTGTCTGTGTGTGTATGTATATGTGCGTACCTGCGTGTGTGTGTCTGTGTGTGTATGTATATGTGCGTACCTGCGTGTGTGTGTCTGTGTGTGTATGTATATGTGCGTACCTGCGTGTGTGTGTCTGTGTGTGTATGTATATGTGCGTACCTGCGTGTGTGTGTATGTATATGTGCGTACCTGCGTGTGTGTGTCTGTGTGTGTATGTATATGTGCGTACCTGCGTGTGTGTGTCTGTGTGTGTATGTATATGTGCGTGCGTGTGTGTGTCTGTGTGTGTATGTATATGTGCGTACCTGCGTGTGTGTGTCTGTGTGTGTATGTATATGTGCGTACCTGCGTGTGTGTGTCTGTGTGTGTATGTATATGTGCGTACCTGCGTGTGTGTGTATGTATATGTGCGTACCTGCGTGTGTGTGTCTGTGTGTGTATGTATATGTGCGTACCTGCGTGGTGTGTGTCTGTGTGTGTATGTATGTGCGTACCTGCGTGTGTGTGTCTGTGTGTGTATGTATATGTGCGTACCTGCGTGTGTGTGTATGTCTATGTGCGTGCGTGTGTGTGTATATGTGTGTATGTATATGTGCGTACCTGCGTGTGTGTGTCTGTGTGTGTATGTATATGTGCGTACCTGCGTGTGTGTGTCTGTGTGTGTATGTATATGTGCGTACCTGCGTGTGTGTGTCTGTGTGTGTATGTATATGTGCGTACCTGCGTGTGTGTGTCTGTGTGTGTATGTATATGTGCGTACCTGCGTGTGTGTGTATGTATATGTGCGTACCTGCGTGTGTGTGTCTGTGTGTGTATGTATATGTGCGTACCTGCGTGTGTGTGTCTGTGTGTGTATGTATATGTGCGTACCTGCGTGTGTGTGTCTGTGTGTGTGTGTATGTATATGTGCGTACCTGCGTGTGTGTGTCTGTGTGTGTATGTATATGTGCGTACCTGCGTGTGTGCACCAGGTCCTGCACACACTGCTCTTTGTGGTAACGCACAAACTGGGTGCAGGTGAGCCGCACCTCCTCTGTCCCACCACCAGGGGGCAGCCCATTCCACAGAGCCAGCACCCTGCAGCACAGGGAAGGACACTTCAAGAATGATAATGTCTCTTTACATCATTATCCTCTCTCTCCAAACACAGTGATAAACTACTGTAGCCACAGCTGCCCTGGGGCACACTGACAGAAGCCCCTCCCACCACCACCAACCATCCACACACACACCAGACTCATTCTAATGTGGGGGAAGTGTGCCACAGCCGCCCCACTGTGGCACCTGGTGTTCCCAGAGGTCTCCCATCACAGCACTAACCAGGCCCTGCCCTCTCACCTGCAGGGGGCGCCACATATGAACCAATCAAAGCATGTTCTCAAAGCACTTGTTTATGCAGTTTTCAGCTTGATTAAGGACTTGATGGAGGTGTCAGCTGTTTATGATGTAAACAAACCTGAGCGTCTCACGGCAGCTCAAGCAAACCAAGATGGCGGACATAAACTCTGTGAATTGTGTAAAATGTTTAAATACGAACAAATAAAGACACAAATGTCACTTTTGATGTAATTTGAGGCGAGATGTTGATGGTTCCGTGTGATGTGTGTGTTTTAAGAGTCATAAGGACATAACCATGGAGCGCTCATTGCCATTCTCTACTATCCCTGATCTGAAAAAAGTGTGGATAAAAAAAACAATTAAAAAAGGAATTAAAAACAGACAAACAGCAGAGAGTTTTCAAAGTGTGTGTCAGGCAGAAATCACTCAAAACGCTGTGAAAAAGGCCAAATAAACAAACAACATAAATCTCACCTCTTCTTGAAAGGAAGGTTCAGACCAAAGATTCCAAACGACAGAAACCCCTGAAAACAGAAATGCACACTTTATTATGCTAACGCTAGCTGTTATGCTAGCTTCTTTATTATGCTAACGCTAGCTGTTATGCTAGCTTCTTTATTATGCTAACGCTAGATGTTATACTAGCTTCTTTATTATGCTAAAGCTAGATGTTATGCTAGCTTCTTTATTATGCTAAAGCTAGATGTTATGCTAGCTTCTTTATTATGCTAACGCTAGATGTTATGCTAGCTTCTTTATTATGCTAAAGCTAGATGTTATACTAGCTTCTTTATTATGCTAAAGCTAGATGTTATGCTAGCTTCTTTATTATGCTAACGCTAGATGTTATGCTAGCTTCTTTATTATGCTAAAGCTAGATGTTATGCTAGCTTCTTTATTATGCTAAAGCTAGATGTTATGCTAGCTTCTTTATTATGCTAAAGCTAGATGTTATGCTAGCTTCTTTATTATGCTAAAGCTAGATGTTATGCTAGCTTCTTTATTATGCTAAAGCTAGATGTTATGCTAGCTTCTTTATTATGCTAACGCTAGCTGTTATACTAGCTTCTTTATTATGCTAACGCTAGATGTTATACTAGCTTCTTTATTATGCTAACGCTAGATGTTATGCTAGCTTCTTTATTATGCTAAAGCTAGATGTTATGCTAGCTTCTTTATTATGCTAAAGCTAGATGTTATGCTAGCTTCTTTATTATGCTAAAGCTAGAGATGTTATGCTAGCTTCTTTATTATGCTAAAGCTAGATGTTATGCTAGCTTCTTTATTATGCTAAAGCTAGAGATGTTATGCTAGCTTCTTTATTATGCTAAAGCTAGATGTTATGCTAGCTTCTTTATTATGCTAAAGCTAGATGTTATGCTAGCTTCTTTATTATGCTAAAGCTAGATGTTATGTATGCTAGCTTCTTTATTATGCTAAAGCTAGATGTTATGCTAGCTTCTTTATTATGCTAAAGCTAGATGTTATGCTAGCTTCTTTATTATGCTAAAGCTAGATGTTATGCTAGCTTCTTTATTATGCTAAAGCTAGATGTTATGCTAGCTTCTTTATTATGCTAAAGCTAGATGTTATGCTAGCTTCTTTATTATGCTAACGCTAGATGTTATGCTAGCTTCTTTATTATGCTAACGCTAGATGTTATGCTAGCTTCTTTATTATGCTAAAGCTAGATGTTATGCTAGCTTCTTTATTATGCTAAAGCTAGAGATGTTATGCTAGCTTCTTTATTATGCTAAAGCTAGATGTTATGCTAGCTTCTTTATTATGCTAACGCTAGATGTTATGCTAGCTTCTTTATTATGCTAACGCTAGATGTTATGCTAGCTTCTTTATTATGCTAGTTCTTATTTGCTAAAGCTAGATGTTATGCTAGCTTCTTTATTATGCTAAAGCTAGATGTTATGCTAGCTTCTTTATTATGCTAAAGCTAGATGTTATCTAGCTTCTTTATTATGCTAAGCTTCTAGCTTTTTATTATGCTAAAGCTAGATGTTATGCTAGCTTCTTTATTATGCTAAAGCTAGATGTTATGCTAGCTTCTTTATTATGCTAAAGCTAGATGTTATGCTAGCTTCTTTATTATGCTAAAGCTAGATGTTATGCTAGCTTCTTTATTATGCTAAAGCTAGATGTTATGCTAGCTTCTTTATTATGCTAAAGCTAGATGTTATGCTAGCTTCTTTTATTATGCTAAAGCTAGATGTTATGCTAGCTTCTTTATTATGCTAGTGTTATCTAGCTTCTTATTATGCTAAAGCTAGATGTTATGCTAGCTTCTTTATTATGCTAAAGCTAGATGTTATGCTAGCTTCTTTATTATGCTAACGCTAGATGTTATGCTAGCTTCTTTATTATGCTAACGCTAGAGATGTTATGCTAGCTTCTTTATTATGCTAACGCTAGATGTTATGCTAGCTTCTTTATTATGCTAACGCTAGAGATGTTATGCTAGCTTCTTTATTATGCTAACGCTAGATGTTATACTAGCTTCTTTATTATGCTAACGCTAGATGTTATGCTAGCTTCTTTATTATGCTAACGCTAGATGTTATGCTAGCTTCTTTATTATGCTAACGCTAGAGATGTTATGCTAGCTTCTTTATTATGCTAAAGCTAGATGTTATGCTAGCTTCTTTATTATGCTAAAGCTAGATGTTATGCTAGCTTCTTTATTATGCTGTGTAAAGAGAGACAGAGGAAGTGATGTCACCTGTCCGTAGTTGGCCACGGCGCAGAAGAACTGCAGCTCCAGGTACAGGCGCCCTGGGTCTCTGTTCAGCAGCCACCACATGCAGCTGGACAGGTTCTGCACACAACACACACTGCTCTTTACCTGCTGAGACCACCTGATGAAGGCAGCAGGACATGTGACATCACTCACTACTGAAGCACTCTATTCATCTGTGAAACCACTCAGACGAGGATCGAGGCAGATCTATGTAAAGAGTTCCCAGTGTGGGGACGAACGCGCTACTGCTGCATTATTAGGATTCTGACTGTAGTCTGTTCATTGCTATTCACCTGTTGTCCCATTGTCTGTTTCATGGTACGATGACGGGACCTCTGAGCCTGGCCTCCTCCATCTGCACCTGCGGACTGCGCCTCAGTCCTCGTTCTACAGTCTGAGTCCTGGGTCTACAGCCTCGGTCCTCGTTCTACAGTCTGAGTCCTGGGTCTACAGCCTCAGTCCTCGTTCTACAGTCTGAGTCCTGGGTCTACAGCCTCAGTCCTCGTTCTACAGTCTGAGTCCTGGGTCTACAGCCTCAGTCCTCGTTCTACAGTCTGAGTCCTGGGTCTACAGCCTCAGTCCTCGTTCTACAGTCTGAGTCCTGGGTCTACAGCCTCGGTCCTCGTTCTACAGTCTGAGTCCTGGGTCTACAGCCTCAGTCCTGGGTTTACAGCCTCGGTCCTCGTTCTACAGTCTGAGTCCTGGGTCTACAGCCTCAGTCCTCGTTCTACAGTCTGAGTCCTGGGTCTACAGCCTCGGTCCTCGTTCTACAGTCTGAGTCCTGGGTCTACAGCCTCAGTCCTCGTTCTACAGTCTGAGTCCTGGGTCTACAGCCTCGGTCCTCGTTCTACAGTCTGAGTCCTGGGTCTACAGCCTCAGTCCTCGTTCTACAGTCTGAGTCCTGGGTCTACAGCCTCAGTCCTCGTTCTACAGTCTGAGTCCTGGGTCTACAGCCTCGGTCCTCGTTCTACAGTCTGAGTCCTGGGTCTACAGCCTCAGTCCTCGTTCTACAGTCTGAGTCCTGGGTCTACAGCCTCAGTCCTCGTTCTACAGTCTGAGTCCTGGGTCTACAGCCTCAGTCCTCGTTCTACAGTCTGAGTCCTGGGTCTACAGCCTCGGTCCTCGTTCTACAGTCTGAGTCCTGGGTCTACAGCCTCAGTCCTGGGGTTTACAGCCTCGGTCCTCGTTCTACAGTCTGAGTCCTGGGTCTACAGCCTCAGTCCTCGTTCTACAGTCTGAGTCCTGGGTCTACAGCCTCAGTCCTCGTTCTACAGTCTGAGTCCTGGGTCTACAGCCTCAGTCCTCGTTCTACAGTCTGAGTCCTGGGTCTACAGCCTCAGTCCTCGTTCTACAGTCTGAGTCCTGGGTCTACAGCCTCAGTCCTGGGTCTACTAGCCTCGGTCCTCGTTCTACAGTCTGAGTCCTGGGTCTACAGCCTCAGTCCTCGTTCTACAGTCTGAGTCCTGGGTCTACAGCCTCAGTCCTCGTTCTACAGTCTGAGTCCTGGGTCTACAGCCTCAGTCCTCGTTCTACAGTCTGAGTCCTGGGTCTACAGCCTCAGTCCTCGTTCTACAGTCTGAGTCCTGGGTCTACAGCCTCAGTCCTCGTTCTACAGTCTGAGTCCTGGGTCTACAGCCTCAGTCCTCGTTCTACAGTCTGAGTCCTGGGTCTACAGCCTCGGTCCTCGTTCTACAGTCTGAGTCCTGGGTCTACAGCCTCGGTCCTCGTTCTACAGTCTGAGTCCTGGGTCTACAGCCTCAGTCCTCGTTCTACAGTCTGAGTCCTGGGTCTACAGCCTCAGTCCTCGTTCTACAGTCTGAGTCCTGGGTCTACAGCCTCAGTCCTCGTTCTACAGTCTGAGTCCTGGGTCTACAGCCTCAGTCCTCGTTCTACAGTCTGAGTCCTGGGTCTACAGCCTCAGTCCTCGTTCTACAGTCTGAGTCCTGGATCTACAGCCTCAGTCCTCGTTCTACAGTCTGAGTCCTGGATCTACAGCCTCAGTCCTCGTTCTACAGTCTGAGTCCTGGGTCTACAGCCTCGGTCCTCGTTCTACAGTCTGAGTCCTGGGTCTACAGCCTCGGTCCTCGTTCTACAGTCTGAGTCCTGGATCTACAGCCTCAGTCCTCGTTCTACAGTCTGAGTCCTGGATCTACAGCCTCAGTCCTCGTTCTACAGTCTGAGTCCTGGGTCTACAGCCTCGGTCCTCGTTCTACAGTCTGAGTCCTGGGTCTACAGCCTCAGTCCTCGTTCTACAGTCTGAGTCCTGGATCTACAGCCTCAGTCCTCGTTCTACAGTCTGAGTCCTGGGTCTACAGCCTCAGTCCTCGTTCTACAGTCTGAGTCCTGGGTCTACAGCCTCGGTCCTCGTTCTACAGTCTGAGTCCTGGGTCTACAGCCTCAGTCCTCGTTCTACAGTCTGAGTCCTGGGTCTACAGCCTCGGTCCTCGTTCTACAGTCTGAGTCCTGGATCTACAGCCTCAGTCCTCGTTCTACAGTCTGAGTCCTGGGTCTACAGCCTCGGTCCTCGTTCTACAGTCTGAGTCCTGGGTCTACAGCCTCAGTCCTCGTTCTACAGTCTGAGTCCTGGGTCTGCAGCCTCAGTCCTCGTTCTACAGTCTGAGTCCTGGGTCTACAGCCTCAGTCCTCGTTCTACAGTCTGAGTCCTGGGTCTACAGCCTCAGTCCTCGTTCTACAGTCTGAGTCCTGGATCTACAGCCTCAGTCCTCGTTCTACAGTCTGAGTCCTGGATCTACAGCCTCAGTCCTCGTTCTACAGTCTGAGTCCTGGGTCTACAGCCTCGGTCCTCGTTCTACAGTCTGAGTCCTGGGTCTACAGCCTCAGTCCTCGTTCTACAGTCTGAGTCCTGGGTCTACAGCCTCAGTCCTCGTTCTACAGTCTGAGTCCTGGGTCTACAGCCTCAGTCCTCGTTCTACAGTCTGAGTCCTGGGTCTACAGCCTCGGTCCTCGTTCTACAGTCTGAGTCCTGGGTCTACAGCCTCGGTCCTCGTTCTACAGTCTGAGTCCTGGGTCTGCAGCCTCAGTCCTTGTTCTACAGTCTGAGTCCTGGGTCTACAGCCTCAGTCCTCGTTCTACAGTCTGAGTCCTGGATCTACAGCCTCAGTCCTCGTTCTACAGTCTGAGTCCTGGGTCTACAGCCTCAGTCCTCGTTCTCCAGTCCGAGTCCTGGGTCTACAGCCTCAGTCCTCGTTCTACAGTCTGAGTCCTGGGTCTACAGCCTCAGTCCTCGTTCTACAGTCTGAGTCCTGGGTCTACAGCCTCAGTCCTCGTTCTACAGTCTGAGTCCTGGGTCTACAGCCTCGGCCCTCGTTCTACAGTCTGAGTCCTGGGTCTACAGCCTCAGTCCTCGTTCTACAGTCTGAGTCCTGGGTCTACAGCCTCAGTCCTCGTTCTACAGTCTGAGTCCTGGGTCTACAGCCTCAGTCCTCGTTCTACAGTCTGAGTCCTGGGTCTACAGCCTCAGTCCTCGTTCTACAGTCTGAGTCCTGGGTCTACAGCCTCAGTCCTCGTTCTACAGTCTGAGTCCTGGGTCTACAGCCTCAGTCCTCGTTCTACAGTCTGAGTCCTGGGTCTGCAGCCTCAGTCCTCGTTCTACAGTCTGAGTCCTGGGTCTACAGCCTCAGTCCTCGTTCTACAGTCTGAGTCCTGGGTCTGCAGCCTCAGTCCTCGTTCTACAGTCTGAGTCCTGGGTCTACAGCCTCAGTCCTCGTTCTACAGTCTGAGTCCTGGGTCTACAGCCTCAGTCCTCGTTCTACAGTCTGAGTCCTGGGTCTACAGCCTCAGTCCTCGTTCTACAGTCTGAGTCCTGGGTCTACAGCCTCGGTCCTCGTTCTACAGTCTGAGTCCTGGGTCTACAGCCTCAGTCCTCGTTCTACAGTCTGAGTCCTGGGTCTACAGCCTCAGTCCTCGTTCTACAGTCTGAGTCCTGGGTCTACAGCCTCAGTCCTGGGTCTACAGCCTCGGTCCTCGTTCTACAGTCTGAGTCCTGGGTCTACAGCCTCAGTCCTCGTTCTACAGTCTGAGTCCTGGGTCTACAGCCTCAGTCCTCGTTCTACAGTCTGAGTCCTGGATCCACAGCCTCAGTCCTCGTTCTACAGTCTGATTCCTGGGTCTACAGCCTCAGTCCTGGGTCTACAGTCTGAGTCCTGGGTCTACAGCCTCAGTCCTCGTTCTACAGTCTGAGTCCTGGGTCTACAGCCTCGGTCCTCGTTCTACAGTCTGAGTCCTGGGTCTACAGCCTCAGTCCTCGTTCTACAGTCTGAGTCCTGGGTCTACAGCCTCGGTCCTCGTTCTACAGTCTGAGTCCTGGGTCTACAGCCTCGGTCCTCGTTCTACAGTCTGAGTCCTGGGTCTACAGCCTCAGTCCTCGTTCTACAGTCTGAGTCCTGGGTCTACAGCCTCAGTCCTCGTTCTACAGTCTGAGTCCTGGGTCTACAGCCTCAGTCCTGGGTCTACAGCCTCAGTCCTGGGTCTACAGCCTCGGTCCTCGTTCTACAGTCTGAGTCCTGGGTCTACAGCCTCAGTCCTCGTTCTACAGTCTGAGTCCTGGGTCTACAGCCTCAGTCCTCGTTCTACAGTCTGAGTCCTGGGTCTACAGCCTCAGTCCTCGTTCTACAGTCTGAGTCCTGGGTCTACAGCCTCAGTCCTGGGTCTACAGTCTGAGTCCTGGATCTACAGCCTCAGTCCTCGTTTACAGTCTGAGTCCTGGGTCTACAGCCTCGGTCCTCGTTCTACAGTCTGAGTCCTGGGTCTACAGCCTCAGTCCTCGTTCTACAGTCTGAGTCCTGGGTCTACAGCCTCGGTCCTCGTTCTACAGTCTGAGTCCTGGGTCTACAGCCTCAGTCCTCGTTCTACAGTCTGAGTCCTGGGTCTACAGCCTCAGTCCTCGTTCTACAGTCTGAGTCCTGGGTCTACAGCCTCGGTCCTCGTTCTACAGTCTGAGTCCTGGGTCTACAGCCTCAGTCCTCGTTCTACAGTCTGAGTCCTGGGTCTACAGCCTCAGTCCTCGTTCTACAGTCTGAGTCCTGGGTCTACAGCCTCAGTCCTCGGTCTACAGTCTGAGTCCTGGGTCTACAGCCTCAGTCCTCGTTCTACAGTCTGAGTCCTGGGTCTACAGCCTCAGTCCTCGTTCTACAGTCTGAGTCCTGGGTCTACAGCCTCAGTCCTCGTTCTACAGTCTGAGTCCTGGGTCTACAGCCTCAGTCCTCGTTCTACAGTCTGAGTCCTGGGTCTACAGCCTCGGTCCTCGTTCTACAGTCTGAGTCCTGGGTCTACAGCCTCAGTCCTCGTTCTACAGTCTGAGTCCTGGGTCTACAGCCTCAGTCCTCGTTCTACAGTCTGAGTCCTGGGTCTACAGCCTCAGTCCTGGATCTATCGCGACATCAGCAGCAGAACACATCCTCTCTGGTAGAAGATGGCTGAGGCTGAAGCATGACCCATGTCTGCTGCTGCTGTGTCCCTGGGCAAGACACTTAACCCCACCCTGCCTGAAACCCCCACTGAAACACCAGGGTCTTTGTTGACAGAGCAGCCATCTTCCTGCAGGAGGAGGATGGTTCCCCCCGACACAGAAATGGATTAATAAAGAAGGAAGACAATGAATGAATGAAAGAAGCTGGAACATACAGCAACAGTTCACTGTGTCACTCCCACAGTCATGTTCCAGGGTCTGATGTAGATGTTTAGGAGAGAAGAGACTCACGGCTAACAGGCTAACGCTGAGCAGCAGGCACAGCAGGACGTGGCGGAGGGTCTGCTTCTCATCAGGAGGAGGACCAGGAGGAGGCAGGTTCAGAGGCTGCTCCGACAGACGCTCTGTAGACACACAACACATACATCATATGAGGAGCACAGGGACTGGCCTCCTGCTGGGCCTCTGAGGAGCACAGGGACTGGCCTCCTGCTGGGCCTCTGAGGAGCACAGGGACTGGCCTCCTGCTGGGCCTCTGAGGAGCACAGGGACTGGCCTCCTGCTGGGACTCTGAGGAGCACAGGGACTGGCCTCCTGCTGGGACTCTGAGGAGCACAGGGACTGGACTCCTGCTGGGACTCTGAGGAGCACAGGGACTGGACTCCTGCTGGGACTCTGAGGAGCACAGGGACTGGCCTCCTGCTGGGCCTCTGAGGAGCACAGGGACTGGCCTCCTGCTGGGACTCTGAGGAGCACAGGGACTGGCCTCCTGCTGGGCCTCTGAGGAGCACAGGGACTGGCCTCCTGCTGGGCCTCTGAGGAGCACAGGGACTGGCCTCCTGCTGGGACTCTGAGGAGCACAGGGACTGGCCTCCTGCTGGGACTCTGAGGAGCACAGGGACTGGACTCCTGCTGGGACTCTGAGGAGCACAGGGACTGGCCTCCTGCTGGGCCTCTGAGGAGCACAGGGACTGGCCTCCTGCTGGGCCTCTGAGGAGCACAGGGACTGGCCTCCTGCTGGGACTCTGAGGAGCACAGGGACTGGCCTCCTGCTGGGACTCTGAGGAGCACAGGGACTGGCCTCCTGCTGGGACTCTGAGGAGCACAGGGACTGGCCTCCTGCTGGGCCTCTGAGGAGCACAGGGACTGGCCTCCTGCTGGGCCTCTGAGGAGCACAGGGACTGGCCTCCTGCTGGGCCTCTGAGGAGCACAGGGACTGGCCTCCTGCTGGGACTCTGAGGAGCACAGGGACTGGCCTCCTGCTGGGACTCTGAGGAGCACAGGGACTGGCCTCCTGCTGGGACTCTGAGGAGCACAAGGACTGGCCTCCTGCTGGGACTCTGAGGAGCACAGGGACTGGACTCCTGCTGGGACTCTGAGGAGCACAGGGACTGGCCTCCTGCTGGGACTCTGAGGAGCACAGGGACTGGACTCCTGCTGGGACTCTGAGGAGCACAGGGACTGGCCTCCTGCTGGGACTCTGAGGAGCACAGGGACTGGCCTCCTGCTGGGACTCTGAGGAGCACAGGGACTGGCCTCCTGCTGGGCCTCTGAGGAGCACAGGGACTGGCCTCCTGCTGGGCCTCTGAGGAGCACAGGGACTGGCCTCCTGCTGGGCCTCTGAGGAGCACAGGGACTGGCCTCCTGCTGGGACTCTGAGGAGCACAGGGACTGGCCTCCTGCTGGGACTCTGAGGAGCACAGGGACTGGCCTCCTGCTGGGACTCTGAGGAGCACAAGGACTGGCCTCCTGCTGGGACTCTGAGGAGCACAGGGACTGGACTCCTGCTGGGACTCTGAGGAGCACAGGGACTGGCCTCCTGCTGGGACTCTGAGGAGCACAGGGACTGGACTCCTGCTGGGACTCTGAGGAGCACAGGGACTGGCCTCCTGCTGGGACTCTGAGGAGCACAGGGACTGGACTCCTGCTGGGACTCTGAGGAGCACAGGGACTGGCCTCCTGCTGGGACTCTGAGGAGCACAGGGACTGGACTCCTGCTGGGACTCTGAGGAGCACAGGGCCCTGACTCTATGTTCCTAGTCTTATAATAAATGATTTTTTTCTGAATAGAAATTTTCAGACAAGATAAATATAAATAATCATTAGCTCATTATTAGGTGGACACACATCAGTCTGTACCTGTGCTAAGGGCAGGCTCTCCCCGAGAAGACGTGTCAGGGACGGACTGAGGCGGGGAACCGTTCTGCAGCTCTGAAACATGAGAAGTGTCTGAAACAACATGTGTGTATGGATTATGTATGTTTAGAAACATGTGTGTATGGATTATGCATGTTTAGAAACATGTGTGTATGGATTATGCATGTTTAGAAACATGTGTGTATGGATTATGTATGTTTAGAAACATGTGTGTATGGATTATGTATGTTTAGAAACATGTGTGTATGGATTATGTATGTTTAGAAACATGTGTGTATGGATTATGCATGTTTAGAAACATGTGTGTATGGATTATGCATGTTTAGAAACATGTGTGTATGGATTATGCATGTTTAGAAACATGTGTGTATGGATTATGTATGTTTAGAAACAACATGTGTGTATGGATTATGTATGTTTAGAAACATGTGTGTATGGATTATGCATGTTTAGAAACATGTGTATGGATTATGCATGTTTAGAAACAACATGTGTGAATGGATTATGCATGTTTAGAAACATGTGTGTATTGATTATGCATGTTTAGAAACATGTGTGAATGGATTATGCATGTTTAGAAACAACATGTGTGAATGGATTATGTATGTTTAGAAACATGTGTGTATGGATTATGCATGTTTAGAAACATGTGTGTATGGATTATGCATGTTTAGAAACATGTGTATGGATTATGTATGTTTAGAAACATGTGTATGGATTATGCATGTTCAGAAACATGTGTGTATGGATTATGCATGTTCAGAAACATGTGTGTATGGATTATGCATGTTTAGAAACAACATGTGTGAATGGATTATGTATGTTTAGAAACATGTGTGTATGGATTATGCATGTTTAGAAACATGTGTGTATGGATTATGCATGTTTAGAAACATGTGTATGGATTATGTATGTTTAGAAACATGTGTATGGATTATGCATGTTTAGAAACAACATGTGTGAATGGATTATGCATGTTTAGAAACATGTGTGTATGGATTATGTATGTTTAGAAACATGTGTGTATGGATTATGCATGTTTAGAAACATGTGTGTATGGATTATGCATGTTTAGAAACATGTGTATGGATTATGTATGTTTAGAAACATGTGTATGGATTATGCATGTTCAGAAACATGTGTGTATGGATTATGCATGTTCAGAAACATGTGTGTATGGATTATGCATGTTTAGAAACAACATGTGTGAATGGATTATGTATGTTTAGAAACATGTGTGTATGGATTATGCATGTTTAGAAACATGTGTGTATGGATTATGCATGTTTAGAAACATGTGTATGGATTATGTATGTTTAGAAACATGTGTATGGATTATGCATGTTTAGAAACAACATGTGTGAATGGATTATGCATGTTTAGAAACATGTGTGTATGGATTATGTATGTTCAGAAACATGTGTGTATGGATTATGCATGTTTAGAAACATGTGTGTATGGATTATGCATGTTCAGAAACATGTGTGTATGGATTATGCATGTTTAGAAACATGTGTATGGATTATGCATGTTTAGAAACATGTGTGTATGGATTATGCATGTTCAGAAACATGTGTGTATGGATTATGCATGTTTAGAAACAACATGTGTGAATGGATTATGTATGTTTAGAAACATGTGTGTATGGATTATGCATGTTTAGAAACATGTGTGTATGGATTATGCATGTTTAGAAACATGTGTATGGATTATGTATGTTTAGAAACATGTGTATGGATTATGCATGTTTAGAAACATGTGTGTATGGATTATGCATGTTCAGAAACATGTGTGTATGGATTATGCATGTTTAGAAACAACATGTGTGAATGGATTATGTATGTTTAGAAACATGTGTGTATGGATTATGCATGTTTAGAAACATGTGTATGGATTATGCATGTTTAGAAACATGTGTGTATGGATTATGCATGTTCAGAAACATGTGTGTATGGATTATGCATGTTTAGAAACATGTGTGTATGGATTATGCATGTTCAGAAACATGTGTGTATGGATTATGCATGTTTAGAAACATGTGTATGGATTATGCATGTTCAGAAACATGTGTGTATGGATTAT